TAGCTGTTGACTCCTTTTAACGTGGCCAGTGTTGATGGAAAAACAAACGTTTTAGAGTTCATTAACTTGCCTCTGCTTTTCTCAAGCTAGTTGCATAACTTTGAGCAATCCATAAAATAAATTAAAAACTGAGTAAAACGCCCAGGTGTTTTCCCCTTCGGATCATGCAACAAGTTCCTTATCCCTTGATCACATGTAAGGCTGGCTGGAACGACTTGAGAAACAAGATATTCTTTGGGAGAGGAGTTGATCTTGTAACTGGGAGAAAAAGAACAAGCAGATGAGAGAGAGTGAGTTTGAAAATTTTAGGAGAAGAAAAAGGTTCAGCTGTTACTGCTGTTAGTGGCAGTGCTGCTGTGCTGCTTTGATAAATTCGAAGTATTACTGTCATCTTCATAAAAACAGTGAAAAAGTGGAATAGAGATTGGTGCATGATATAAAATTTTAAGCAGCCATTTGGCATCGTTGTTACTGTGCAGAGGTGTAATGTCATCTTACTTGGACTGCATTTCTTAATGTAAATCCTTCATGTTTTAATCTTTAGGATGTGTTTGCAGTATTAAAATAGTTCAGACCTGGTAAACAAAGTTGCTGGGTTTTAAAGTAATTTATTAGAGTCTTGAGGGCAAAATCAGTTACTGGAAAGTGTGTTCAGCCTAAGAAAGCTCATTAAGTGACTGGTTGCAAACTAAGTTTGAAAATGTTTCTGATGGGGGCTTCAGGAATCTTGGCAGCTGGTTGCAAGCAGGTGCAAGCTGAATCCAAAAGGGTGCTGTAGCCTCGAAGCTGGGTGTGCTTTCACACCTTGCAACTGCAACTGTCATTGGTGCACCTTCTGTACCTGTTGCCAACTCAGTAGACCCGTTATTGTGCCGAGTAGCAGACTTCCAGGACTCAAGTGATGAATTATTCTCTTGTGCTTATTCAGACTGAAATGCTAACGAGGATGCTTGTTGGCAACTCTCATTTTTGGGGATGTGAACAGCTGCCAGCAAAGATAGACACTTGAGACCAACTCATGTCTCGCAGACCACAAAATGGCCATCAGCTACCAATGACCTTCTGGAAGTAACAGGATGAGAATGAACACAATTGCTCTGGCATGCTCTTACCACCAATTTCAGTCTTTTTATAATCAGGAGTTTGAGATGCCTTTTTTCAAAAATATGTTGATCTTCTGGTTTTGAAAATGTTGTAGCTGTTAAAAAAAATAATCACTGAATATAGATCGCTTGCGTATGTATACCATACACCAGTAAATGCTTCCTTTTCAGGTCATGGAGGTCGGGTGATGCTGTGATCAGTGCCCAAGTGTTTAGAGAGAAAGCAGCGAGTGGCAGGAATTGAACGATGCCAATAGGAGCAGTATGAGTGGATATGGTTGTATCACTGCCAGAGGATAAGTACAGAGGTGGTGGGTGTGGACTTGGCTTTTCCTCAGTGGCCTTGGTCAGGTTCACAGAAACACGTGTGACAGGCCACTGAAATCCGTGATTTCTTGAAGAGGTATTCTTTCCTGAATTGGAACCAAGCCCAGCACATTCTCATAGCACCTGTTTTTCTTCAGATAAAATTGAGAGAGAGATGAATTCTCACCATGTTTGTTAGCATTATAACCTCTCTTAACCTTCCTTCCTTGAAAGGCAATATAATTGTGAAAAGGACATTGTCTTACAGCCAGCTAAAAGATTATTTGTAGAGATTGTTTTTCAGCCTTGTGGTTGAAAGAAGTTGAGATAAAACAGCATGAAACAATATACTGGCATAGCGTTACAGTAAAAACAAACCAAGAGAAGAAACCTGGCAGCTTGCTTGGACTGTGTACTTTGTGTAGCCCCAGAAGGAGAAAGTAATTTAAATTGGCTCTCCAGAATGAGGTCTGGTCCAAACATTTGAACACTTTCTATGAATCTGGTTGAGGCAGCTACTGGCATCCTTCCAGGGTTTGTCACAGCAAGGCTTTTCCTTAACAGCCTTGTCCAGTCTGTGGAAAAAACCAGACTATGTTCACATCCCTTCAGATACAGTTGTAAACATTTGTGGAGGTTGTTGTCTAAATACTTTTAAAGTCTACCTATTCTTTCCTAGTTTTGACACCATACTTTGGTCCTATCTTAAGTAATTCCTTTTCAGCTGCAGTGATTACAGTCTGCGGTGTCAGTCATCTTGCTTTGTATCACAGTTGCTTATTTCTTTTTGAAAAAGTCTGTACAGATTGTTTCTAATCAGCTAATGTGATAATTATTTTCCTTTAAACTAATTTGTTATTTGCCTGCCTCCTAAGACAGTGACCATATAAGCTAAGGTGGCCAGTCCTGGGCTGTTACTGTGTTTCTTTAGAATTCAAAGTTATGTTGGTTTTTAAAGAACACGTTAATAATAATTTTAATTGTTTAAAATTGGGAACTGTAATTTGCTAGGCTACTTTGGTGGTTAGTAAAAATGCATCTATCTGTTCCTTGTGTTTAAAAAACCAAAACAACCAAACAAGCCTAAAGCTTGGGGAAGATTGCTTCCATTTTTGAGTTTGTGAACCCAGCAGTACAGGCCTGAGAGAATTAGAGAAAGGACAGAAAAAGACCTAGGTTGCTCTTTAACTTATGTTTGTAGAACCACTGACATCAAATAGTGGAATTTTTAACTTCCTGGTGCCAAAAGTCAGAGCCTTTGAGGTAGCATTTTGCATCATAACTGACTCAATCTATGCAAAATCAATAATTTAGGAGAACAGAGCTATTTATCACAGTACGTTTGTTAGATTTTAGTAGAGATGTTCACAGAAAACACTGAGGTGCAACCTTAGAGTTACTAACGTTTCTTAAAGGTAGTTTAAGTTTCATATATGAAAACATCGTGTCCAAGGTTTTGCGTAATATTTCCTGGAGGAAAATTGAAAGCTGGTTAAGCAATGCTTTTTCTGAACAGACTTTCAAAGTGAAACTGTCCTTTTACGAGAAGGACGGCAGCAGAGGGGTTGTAGCAGAGCTCAGCGTTGCGTGTCCAAGTGGAACCTTCCCTTTGCGTATTACAAAAGGGTAAAGTACTGCACGCTATGCCTTGATTTTGCTGTTAAGAAAGCCTGTTCTGCAAATTAAATGCATATGAGCGCTCGTACATGAACTGAGGCTGCCATGAAGCCAACATTTAACGGGGGCCTTTGTTTTTCACTCTGCCTGTTACTTCTCTCGTGACTGAGGGCTATTTTTAGTTTCTCCTAAGGGAAAAAAAAAGTGCCACTTGTGTTTTTAACGGTTTGTATACTGTTAGGAGCCTTTGTTTTTCCATCTGAATCTGACATTTTCTGGAATGTTACACAACAGATTGTCTCACCTGCATGTGTTGTTATGTATTTTGCTGATCCGAAGCACATCTAAAAGCATTTTCACTGTTGCAGGCACTTGGCTTCTTGTGGTATTCTGATGACCAGAATTTCTCCTTTGAAAGTACCTGTCATGAGCCATACCTTTTCAAGAACTTTCTTCAACATTGCTGCTCCACTAGTAAATAAAAGAAAAGAATATTCTGAAAGAAGAATTATAGGGTTTGTATAGAAGTGTGGAAAGAGACTTTGTATGCTTGTTGATTTTATGTTTGCTGTGATTAATCCAAAACCCTAGAAGTTCAAAGACAGCAACCCTGGAGACACATGTTCCTATGACTCCACCTAATTGGAGACTAGGAGAGAGTTTTGACTTTCAGAATTTGTAGCAATCGGGCTTTTCCAGTCTGAAATAAATGTAGAAACCCAACTGCCTTGCTCAGTAGAAAGATGGAATAACCCTTCTGTTCCATGACAAAACTAAAACAACCCTGAAAGGGAAGAATACACAGTTAATTTAATCCGGGAAAGTGAGAATAAACCAACAGGTGTGAAAACACTCCATTTCTCAGGGCTTTCTGGCCCAAATACATGCTAATATTTGCACTTTATGTTGTACTTCTCATTTCTTGAGATTTTCTTCTTTCTGTGAAAGAAGGTAAATAATTGTGTGATGAAGAAACTTAGGCACATAGAAAGAAGATATTGAAATCCTGTTTGCCTAAAGTTAGTGGGGAAAATTCCAGTTCATTTAATGAGGCTGGGATCTGCCCCCAGCCTTTGGTCCACAATAGTACAAAATTTACTATTTTTGGGTTGTTTTTTTTTTACTATGCTTAAGGCTCATTTATGTGATAGTTCTTGAACTGCAACGGATTTTGCATAGTCCCTTGAAAAGACCTTTTGCCCAGTAGTACTCACTGTTGAGGACTGTTGAAATGACGCATCATTTTAAACACAGGTGGAATTAAGCATGTGCTTCAATTCATTTCTGAGTCAGCACTAAAAATTAAAGAGCACAACTATGTAACCCTTTCCTCCGTTACTGTAGAATCAACCGAGATGTTGCCATCGTATTCCTTCATACAATTTCAACATCTTGCTTGAGCAGGGAGGTTGGACATGATGACCTTCAGCCATTTTGTGATGCTGCGAGGTTTTCCCGTTGCATGTATTTTTAAATTAAGCATGGTTTTTATGTTATTATTTGGGCTAAGATAAGTAGTGTTCTATTTAAACTTTGTGAAATATAGCACTTTATTTTTGATGCATTTTGTTGGTAGAAATGGTGGATTCTTTATGTGAAATGTCTAGCATCTACCTAAATGAAGACACAGCTGTGCTGGAAAAACTTGTTTTTCCATTTGAAATATACGCATATTTGCCTGATATTGCAGAGAGTAGCAGACACCAGGGTCACTGTTCACTAACTTTACTGAAGGATGTTGTGTGGTGTTTTGCATCTTTATGCAAAGACTTACCGGTTTATTACTCTTCTTTTTTTTCTCTCTTTTTAATTTGCAAAAACAGTGGAAACGTTTTCAGGTAACTGTATGTCCACCTTTCAAATTGTCATTTATACTGTTTTTGAAGCTTGTTAATACTGAATTTGAAGTTAAAATACCTTGTCAATAACGTTTGTGTTTCTGTTTCCAGGTATTCTATGCAGGAAATGTATGAAGTTGTTGCTGTTGTGGAGAATTACAAACTATTTGTTCCTTGGTGTAAGAAGTCGGATGTATTATCAAAGCGCTCTGGGTACTGCAAAGCACAGCTAGAAATTGGATTCCCTCCTGTAGTAGAGAGGTATACGTCGGTCGTTACACTTGTGAGACCACATTTAGTTAAGGTAACTTATTTTTTTAGCTGTAACTTTCTGTAACTTTTGTTTGTTGAAATTCAAATAATTCAATGGTGCTTCAAACCAAAATTGATGCTGAAAGTGCTTTGTGTGGCTCGAAACTTGTGTTTCTTCTGTTTAAAAAGTGGAGTTAACTGGCGAGGATTTGAATGTGCTTTTAAAACATAAGCTGCCAAATGGCAGGAGGTGGGGTGGGTAGGAATTGCTTTTTAATTTCCTTTTGCTGGAGAAACTAGCAACCATACATGAAAACAGACCATTTCTGTTTGGTTTTCTTAGAATTTTGTCTAAGCCTCTCTAATGCAAAATTGGTACTGACTTAAGAGTTATCTTTGACAACTGTAGCTTTTGATACTTTAGCTAAATTGGTATCTGTGTGTCCTCCTTACAATGTTAATTAGCTCGTACGAGAAATCCTAAACTTAAGTGTAGGATCTGCTGAAGACCTGGTTATTCAGTGTGTTGGTGAGAAGATGGAAGAGTGGATTTTAAAGTCCATTTTTTAGAATGAATTTGTTCAGAAAATCAACAGTTGTATTTCTCCTCCTTTCAGCTTTTCAAGAGCAATAACTAAAAATGTCAAGAGAGAAATTGTAAATTACATCTGAATCTTCTCACTAGTTTGCTTTATATGTTCAGATCTGTTTTGGTCAGGAATAGCTCAGAGTAGATTCCTTACAGCAAAACTGCTGCTCCCTCCATATGGCAGATCTGGACTATTTTTTGGGAATAACTAGTGGAATTACAACAGTCGATTGCTGTTGAAGACAGCTGTTTGGATATCTTATTTCACTAGGCTGTCCTATTTCTTTTGTAGGCTTCCTCTTAAGAGACACTGCTCAAACCAGAAACTGGGTTTCTTAAGTACAGGGGAGACACGAATTGGAAAGGGAGTATGCAAAGTGCCCTTATTCAAGGTACTTATTGATTCTGGAAAGAAAGAAAAAATAAAGTCTTCCTCCCTTTCTTAATAAAGTTGAACAGCTACAGTGGAAGATCTGCATTTTACATGCTGACTGCTTTCCCTTTCTACTCTTCCCTGACAAGACTGGCTTTTTGCTTTCACATAACTGTCAGATTGGCTTACTCAGAAGAGGATTTATAGTCTCAGAAAAGACCATGAAAGTGATGAGGAGAACCATTTTTAAAATTTCCTCTTCCTAGACTTATTAGCCTTTTCTCTGCTGGGATTATTTTTCCTAGAAGTTTACGTTGTGTTCATGTAACTGTAGGAACATTTCTAGAGAAGTAACTGGTGTTTGGACTAACTGACTCTCCCCAGAAATAACTCTGGGCAAAGGCAGTTTGCATGGTGGTCCAGCATAGCTGGCTACTGGTGGCAACAAAATGAGCACGAGTTTGTTGCTTACAGCAGCAATGCTTGAGCAATGGCAAAATCGGACTGGTAGCAGCAGTTCTTGCCACAGCGGAAAGCACGAAGTTTGCTACTTAAAAGGTTGGAGCGACAGGGGCATATTGGCAATTTTCCCATTCTTCCTGCCCTTTTGGCAGCAGCAGGAAGATCAAGCCCAGCTCTTCGTGTTCAATCTTCCCTCTACTCCTCCCCTTTCTGTGGAAGTAGCAAGGCACTTCTCCTGGGCAGAAAAATGTTGGGTTTTTTGTGCTGCTAATTAGTCTTTGAGATGGCTTACCTTACCATGGCTTTCAAACCACAAGCAACATCTATTCATCATGGGTGGTCTTGTTGGAGCAGAGCTGTTTGTGGGAAGAGTAAAACCTGTAAAAAAAGAGTTAAAAAGCAGTTACAGAAATTCTCTCTAGCAATTCCACACCCACTTCTCTACAACCTCGTTTCAGGGAGTTGTAGAGAGTGATAAGGTCTCCCCTCAGCCTCCTTTTCTTCAGATTAAACAACCCCAAATCCCTCAGCTGCTCCTCTTAATACTTGTTCTCAGGACCCTTCACCAGCTGACACTGCAAACGGGATCTCATGCTGGCTGCACTTTAAGAATAATTTTAACTATGTCGTGACCTTCACTGTCTAACAAAGTGCAAATGCAAACTTCAGTGATACCAATTAGTCACATCTGTAAAAGCCTAATTGTATCTTGACTTTTCAAACTTTATTTTAGGCATCCTGCACAGATGGAAAACTATTTAATCACTTGGAAACAGTGTGGCGTTTCAGCCCAGGTATCCCTGGTTATCCAAGGACATGTACGTTGGATTTTTCAGTAAGTACTATAATTAAAGACTACCACGTGCTTGGAACAGGGCATAGAAATAGTATCTTCAGCTGTGCTTTTTGAGTTTGTTTTTTGTTTGAGTCTAGGTTTTTTTTAAATACCTAATGGTGCTAATATTTTCTTAAAGTGCATACACACAGAAACCAAGTTAGTTTTGGTCACTACTATCCAAAACAATTTTTGGAAACTACCACACAAACCACTACAGTGTCATTTAGAGACAGCAGTCTTCTGTCAGGCGTCAACCTGTCATGAAGCAGTCTAGGGCATGGTATCTCTCACCATTAATTTCTACACATGCTGAAGTTTTCAAACAGTCAGAGAGGGAGAAATTCTAAACGTACTTTCTTATTTCCTTTAATTACTCTACAACCCAAGTGCTTTTGACATTAGAAAGTAGGTGTTCTCCCATATGTCCTCTTTGGCCTGCAGTTTGGTCAATTTAATTTCCTGTTTTCCAATTTTACTCTTTCATTTATTTGCAGTCTTATTCCTTCCTTCTAGAATTCAGGTATAATAGTTTTTTGCTGTCTCTCTACTCTGTTAGGATATCACTGCAGCTCAGAAGTATGGCTTTTTAAATCCACTGTCTGATTCAGCCTGTTACTCCTAGACAAGATGTTTTCCGCTCAAGTTATTGCTTTTCCATTTTGTCTATTTATTCTACCATCACTTTTTTTCATACATTTTATAGTGTTAAGAGTCGGTGCTGCATTGAGCACGTGACTAAGCTGAGGTTCAAAACAGGCTACAAAAGGACATGGAAATGGGTTGATCCTGCTGCCATCTACTGGGATGCTCTGCTTTAAAAATTATCTTCTGTAAACAGGAAAAAGAACATTTGGAGTATTTGTAAACTAGCATGTTAATCTCCTTAGGTTAACAACTTTAAGCTTATTGCTGTATTGCACTTTGTACAGTTCAACAGTAAAAATGGATCTATAGGCAAAAATACACTCAAATACTACATTTCTCGTGGGATGTGTCAATGATGTTTGCATGTTATTTGCTCATAGTATTTGAATTTTTCCAGGCAAATAAGTGCCAGCTCCTGCTGCTAACCAGTACGTAAGATAGCTTTTAACCCAAGCCATAAACCAGTTGAGAAAACTTGAATGAAGCAAGTGCTTAAACCCTACAATCTAAATATTGAGTCTGTGAAGAACACCTGCCCATACCAGAACCACCTTTTAAAATTTCAGGTCAAGAATTTTAGTTAAAGGGTGTCAAAACTGGACTTAAAATGGGTATTTTCACTTTCTTGGTGAAACACTACCAGTACTTCTTACTGCTCACCCCATTTTGAGGTAGCAGAAGCAAATGTAGGCAGCTGAGCAGAAGGTTGCCTCACAAAGGCAAGTCCTTAAGGACTCTAACCCTTGCCAGTTACTGACCTGCTGTGTTGCTTGCCTCCGTGCTTGTGCAGATAGGGATGATAAGCCTTTCACAACAAACTTCTCAAAACATACTGTGCAACTACAAGTATTTGGGAGAAAACTTTGATTTCAAGAATGCTCATTTGCTTTAGAAATAGTAATTGGAGTTTTGGATTATGCTGGTTCCCACAAGCTACTGTATGCTGTTTTGCCAGCCTGATTCCAGGAAACACACACACACAGCAGGGAGCTCTTCTCGCTTGGTTTCAGCTCTTAAATGGTTTGGTATATAGACTGAGGCACAGCACCATTTTTACCACCTGCAAACATTGTAAGTGTATACCATACCTCAAGTTCTTACATAGCTACCGAACGTGATGCCAAACCTGTTATCCTTGCTCTGCAGAACTCTACATGCTCTTAATGACAGCTCTCAGACTTCCAAAGGCACATTAATTTTACTGATGCTTGAGGTCAAGCAAATATAAATGAAGCTACACCTGGCTTACATTCCAAGTAGTTTAATTACTTTTGTGCTACTGTTGTGCAGTTAACGTGCATTACTCATAAGCAATTTGAGAGAAGCTGTATTTGCTCCATTTGGCATTTGATCTGCTGATACCTCAGGAATGATTAAAATTCTTAAATCTCAATCCAGAAGACATGCTACAGCAGGAGCGACAATAAAATCACAGAACAACCACCTTTTCTCCTGAAAATTCTGTAATAATTTTGGGAAGCTGCATATTCCAAAACAATGCAATTTATAGCCTTAGGAGAACGTTATTTAATTAGACCAGAGGCCAGCACAGCACAAAAGCATAATTAAAGGCTATTTGACATTAAAATGATCTTTTCTTTAGAGGTTAGAGAGAAAAAGCCAACTCCCTGTGCCCTTGCCCTGTTTCTTGCTGCAGTAGCTTCGGTTTAGCTGCAAGATTCAGTAGCTAAAAGGAAACATAGGAGTTAAGTCCTGAGCACTGCAGAAGGAGGCCTGAGGGCTTGGTACAGAGGATGTCAGCGGTGTGTCTGTACTCTTGACATTGCCCATGTCAGGACAGCGAAGCTCAAAACTGGGAGGTGTTCAGGTAGATGTGGCACACAAAACCAAATTTATAGCTTTAGTCAGTAAATTGCTTCTTTGAACATACCATAACAGCTACCAAGATCGAAAGACTGAAGATATTGATTGGTATTTAATAGGTAGCTACTTCAAGCTGCTTTTAAATGCTTCTTGGTTTTGATCCAGCTTTCCTGTAAGCCTGCTGCCTTCTGTGCACAGTTACTGAGTTATTGTTGGTCAGCAGTTTTTCATCATCCCAGATCTCTTACTTAGTTTTTGTGATGTATCATTTATTAAGTAAAATACAGCTTAGATAAATGGAAATTATTACTTCAGGAAGTTGGTTTTTTTAATTGAAAAGCCCAGGGAGACAGCCCTGGAATTCCAGCAAGGAATAAGGCTTGCTTCAGACACGCTCACCTATAGTTCAGTTTAACCTGTTCTTACAGCTTGCTGGCAGACTAACTGGAGATTCCTTAATGAAGTTGTCTATTTGTAACAGCATCTTACAACAGCAGATACAAGAACAATTTTCCATTTTCTTTAACAGGTTTCTTTTGAATTTCGTTCACTTCTACACTCAAAACTTGCTACACTATTTTTTGATGAAGTGGTAAAGCAGATGGTAGCAGCCTTTGAAAGAAGAGCATCCAAACTCCACGGCCCAGAAACAAGCATACCTCGGGAGCTAATGCTTCATGAAGTTCATCACACATAAAAGGGAAAATTATAACCACCTCCATGATAAACTTGTTTGTAAACGTCGTTTGTACAAGAGGTGCCTTGCTCCTCCTTTGGGGCATTTATTTCATAGCTGAGCTTTGTGTGTCATTTTATACTGTACAAAACACACCTCTTCAGCCAGATGTACATAGAACGTTCTAACTGCAATCAAGTGCAACTGCAACTGTTATCAGTAACAGGCAATTGGCAGCTACTGTAACACAAGGTATCTCAGGCTGCCATTTATTAACTTTCCAAAGGGTCTGTGTAATCACATTGTAAATTCTGCCTTATCCAAGCTCATGTTTTTTTCAGCATTGTAACATATTAACTGAAGTGTAAGTTATTAGTACTGTGAATGTAACTTAACAGCATCAGCTCAGCCAATTCTGGCAAAGCAACATTGTGGCTCCACGGAGTGGGGAACAGTTATGCTTGGCATGGAGCAGCAGGTACTTTTAATCCACGTGAATGACAAGGGTAAGTCAGGAGCCTCCAGCTGCCATTGAATTCTAACCAACTGCAACAGAAAAAACACCACAGCCTGAACACTGAGTTTTCAGAAATGGAATGTAAGGGGTATATGTGCTGTAAGGGGTACTATAATTTGAGTGCAGCAGTTTCAGCTATAGTCTGTGGTCCTTGGTGAGTTTATAGTACACGTGACAGGCTGAACTGGCCTACCCAACACTCTTCCACTGTTACACAGGGCATTCAAGGCATGGTACATGCATCTCATCTCATGCAAATTGTTCCTAGCTCCAACACTTTAAAAACTAAGGAAATAAAAGGCCAAGTTGTCATTTAAAGACCCCGTACAACAGAGAGCTTAACAAAAGTTCCTAGTTTTGAGTACCATACTACCATTTAATTATCAGCCCATTACAATGATTAAGCTCATTTTCAGTAGTTCTATTCCTGGCATTAATACTCTTTCCAGTCTCTGAAGAGACATAAATGAATAGGTTTGAACAGGTTTTAAGTCGCCTACATGCTGCCTTGTGTTACCAAAATTGCTTTACTGAAATTAGGTGAAGCTTCAGGTTGGGTGTTGAAGCTGGCCCTTTCTACAAAGTGTCCATAATCCACATGGTCACTACAGAACAGGGTACTGTATTAAATAACATAGGAAGGTATGCTTCAGGACAAGGACAGCCCTGAGCTGTTTCAGACCATTTAAATACTTTTCTAGAAAGAGCAACTGGAAATTCACCCATCCTGTCTGTAAAGGATAGTCCTTATTAAAAGGTAGGAAGCTGTGGAAAGTGGCAGATGGATTAAGAGGTCAGTTTTAAAGCACCGAGTTGTAAAGCAATTTTGTTTGTTTAAAGAATAGACAAGTTTGGAAAGCAGACTTTAAACATTAATGTTATCAGCTGTATCGGGTCAGTGAACACAGTAGGTGGCAAACAAAACTCAGTTTTAAGGTTAAAGCAGCATCCAGTGCAAAATAATTTAAATCTTGGAGCTCATCAGCAGAAAGCTTGAAGACTGAAAGTATCAAGGTAAGAAGGTAACCACACACCACACCTGAGCAGGGGAAGTATTTAAAAAACCCACAGCCCTTTCTTAGCAGAGGACTTACCTGTTCCGTACTCTCAGGGCACTTTCCCTGCCCCAGCACTGAGATGCACCAGGCCTGTTCCAGCAGTTGAACAATCAGTAAAGACAGGGCAAAATAAAGTCACTGCATATGCCTTACTTTTCATAGCAGTTTAATATTTCAAAGAACTGTAGTGTCAGGGCAGCTTAGGTATTTCTTACCAAAATCAAAGCCACTTGTATTTCAGAGAAACATTCCAGACAAAGGAATGTTTCCTGGAGGGAAATGTCCTGTCATTTCCAAGCATAAGTGTCAGATCTCTAGTAAATCTCAGAAGCAGCAGCAGGCCGTCAAGGTTCTACCAGGACAATGGCTTCATATGCAGATGAATAAGGTGATACATTTCATAACTTTTGAGCAGTTTATTACATAAAGGTCACATACTGTATATGCCTACTTTGTACACAATTGTCTAGTCTCACGCACAGTGGCTTCCAAGTTCTTCCTAGTACTGGCAAGCACCAATAAATTCTGAAACAGAATATCAAGTGCCTTAATTAAGTTGAAGTTTAAATCAGGACCTTGGCAGATGGATCTTGCACCCAGTTATCAGGAATGTACAAATGTCTTTATTCAAAAAATACAAAATAAATTATCTGTAGGCATGGGCAATGACTGTAAACAATTACACGTGTGTTAAATGAAATCCAGTAACTGATGGTTACAGTGATTCTTTTAAACACCAGCCTCACTTCAGTCACTATCCACCCTCTTGCACTGAGAGCTGAAGTTTTTAAAGTCAGAACTGTCAGTCTTAACAGCTCAGCTCATGATATGGCCCTGGCCCAGGAATTAGAACATGCCACCTCCCATTCCTCCACCCATCCCACCCATCCCTCCCATTGCCGGCTCCTTTTCTTCTTTAGGAATTTCAGTCACCACTGCTTCTGCTGTTGATAAGAGAGACGCAACACCTGCAGCATCCATCAGAGCAGTTCTCACAACCTAAAAATAGGAGAGAAATAACTTAATACCTGCTGACAATCACATGAGCTGGGAGGAAGGAAAGCTGAGAATTAGAGACTATTTTAGGTTACCTTTGTTGGGTCTATGATGCCTTTTTCTACCATATTTACAAAGTCCCCAAGCATTGCATCGTAGCCAACTTCTGATGGACTCTGCAGGATTTTTTCAACTATTAATGACCCTTCAACACCTGCATTCTTTGCAATAGTCATTGCTGGGATTTTCAGTGTTCTCTTTATTATTTCAATGCCTGTAAGAAAAAAGATGTTTAGAATTACATATCACATATGCTGCTCCTATTGCCAAGGCACACCTTCACATACTGGAGACCAATACAGAAAGGGAGAACCCTCTGAGCAAGAACAAGCTATTTTTATCAGTTCCAGAGGAAAAAACTTCTCTGCTACTTAACATGTCAACAAATGACATTATTGCCAGATATTCACACACAGTTTTCTTTCTGCAAAAGGTAGTAAGGAGCATTACTACTGTGACATGGCACAACGCCTTTTCCCCCATCTGATTTGCCACACCATCTTGGAAGCATTCTTAGATTTCGTCTGTCTGCAATGGCTGTAACAGTCAACTCTTCCTTTAATGGTTTACAACCTTTGCAGTGGGTAATGCTGCTTCATTTTTATTGGTTCTTCCACATCCAAGTCAGGAACGCAGTGGAAACTCCTTCCCAGTGTAAAGCAGAGATGGCCATATCAAGGGGATAAGAGGTTCTAAAGATCAAGTAACTAAAAACTCACTGAAAGCAATCTATTTAATCTTACAAAGCGTCAGACAGAAGAAAGCCTATTCTCAACACTTACACAAACACGTTCAAGTAATTTACTTACCAATTTTCTGATCTTCATTGGCTGGAGCCAAAGCATCTAATGCTGGAATGCAGCGAAGCAACGCACAACCACCTCCGGGAACGATGCCTTCCTCTACAGCAGCACGGGTCGCATTCAGGGCGTCAGTAACTCTGTCTTTCTTCTCATTCACTTCAACGTCACTTGTGCCACCAACCTACAAGAAGCAAGCCACGTGTCAGGGTCCACACAGGAGCCCACGTGGGAGAGCGCTACTGACTGTGGAACTGCTGCTGCAAAATTAAACACCCAACTTGAGACATTAACTGAAAAACACTAGAAGGCAAACCCATACGCTCCCATACTGGCACTGTCCTTTTGTAACTCAGCACTCAGGAAGCCTAAAACATAGTTTTGGTTGATTGTTTCATCAAGTTCTTAATACCGAAGTGTATCAAGAAGTTAAATTCCTTTTGCAAATAAACTACTAAGATTACAAAACAACCACACCGTAGTAACTTAGGTTAGCAACACAGGACGGGTACCACTGCTTTCCTGAGAAGTTTAGCTTCTCACCTTCAGCACTGCCACTCCATCAGAGAGTTTGGCCAATCGCTCGTTCAATTTCTCTTTTTCATAGTCACTTGTGGTAACTTCTAGTTGCTCAATGATTTCTTGAATACGTTTTTCAATTTGAGCCTTTTCACCCTTTCCCTTTAGAAGCATGGTGTCATCCTTTGTCACAATGACCTCTCCAACTTTACCAAAGTCATGAGCCTGAATATCTTCCACATTCAGGCTCAAACCTTCTTCTCCAAACACCTGAAATAAATTACATTAAAAGTTGGCATTATGACTGAGCAGTCACTCATGTATTCAAAGTGCCTGGAAAGGAGATCTGTGTTATAAAGTCCTGCCTCTATTTTGAGAAGTTATGAGTATTGGTAATAAACAGACTTCAGAAGAGAGTTTGCTGGTTTTGTTACTTTGTGGTCCATTTAGCCTAAACACTAAATTTTATTTCAATAACCACCTTTGGATCATAATCTCATGCAATGAAGTGTGTATAAAAACAGCAGCATAAAGGGACACTAATCTCTGTTATCTATTTGAGGAGTTGAGTACAAAAGAAAATTATCCAGTCCATTCCAAACATTTATAACTATTATATTAATTATAGTCAAGGCTGGGCAATCATGAGACATTCAGTTTTATAAGGCTGAAAGAAAGCTTTGCTATTTTTAAGTAATGTTGTCGATATTACTCCTTCCCCTTAGCAATCTAAATAATGCAAGGAAATTGTGTGTAACTTCAGTCAGTTAAAAGAACATATTGGCTGGTCAGGGCTGTATTACACAGCAATTATCAATATCCACATTTAAAAACAAAACCAAAAACCCCCAAAGATTAAACCAGAGTTACTGTTATATTTTTTGAAAAAACAGGACACAGCCTGCAACACAGCAAAAACAAGCCATGGACCTAAAATACACACTCTTTTCCCCCTTAAATACCATTAACATTTCTTAGAGCAAACAGCCAATTAAACACCATTACTTACAGCACCACCAGTAGCAATTGCCATATCCTTAAGCTGGTTTTTCCTGTTGTCACCAAAACCTGGTGCTTTTACAGCAACAACCTGGAGACCAACCTTCAGTCTGCAGAGAGAATTCAAAGAGCAACTATCCACATGTGTTTAGAGAACAAGTCTAATGATTAAACATTTGTTTCAGTACAGCTCTAACAATCAAGTGAACAAAGAGACCTTCATGAACT